GATCATGACTGACTGCTCCATGTAAACTGTATCAAGTCAGGTTTGCGTTCTTCCCAACCAGCTGCTATATTCCAGCATGTTTTAATCATGATTAGCTGACATAATGCAGAATAAGATTTGCCTCATAGGGGTCAGCTGTGGTCAGCATCATGTCAGTTAACTTCACTATTTACAGCTGTATTTCAGCACAGAGCAGTTCTGCAATGCACACCAGCCCAGAATGGCAGGGGCCACACATAGGGTTGTGCCCTTTGCAGAGCACCCTCTTGTACCCTATAAGACACAGAGGTATCATGAGACACTGAAACTGAGTCCTTCAAAGAGTGTCAGAACAAGGTCTACATACAGCTTAAAACCTAACTTTTCCAAAAGGTGAGTTTCGTTCACAGGATGGAGGGATGCAGCTGGCCAGGGTACCATGTCCCTCCTGCAGCAAATCAATGTGCTGAGCCAGTAGCTTGTGACATCTCCTCAGGCTCAGAGTTCATTAGCTTCTGTAGTAACCCTGCTTGGGCAGCACAGCCGGCACAGCCACAGTCAAGTTTAAACTCAGCTGCACTGGTAGCATTTCAAATGAGATACTTTTAAGGAAATCTAACAGGCCAGTTCAATGCAAAACAAAAGCAATGCGGGGGTTAAATCTTCTCAGGAAGCAAAAAAGGTACCACCTTAACTCTGAAGCTGCTGTGCTTCAGAAGTATTGGAAGCTGAGGAGGTGCTTAGGGGATTGTCATCGTGTCCCTGCCCTGTCCTTACAGACATCCTAAGGCAACGTGTTTGGTCTCTGTCGGAAATGGGATACTAGCCTACGTGGTCTGACCCTGTGTAAATTGCACCCGTAAGCCTACGAACAAATGGGAGATCACTACTACAGGAGGAAGCTCCTCCTGTGCTAATTCTTCCAAAATCAAGAGCTTAGCAACTATAGGCATCTGCTTTGAGGGGAAAAAGAAAAGCACTTAAGGTCAAAGTGAATCTTAGTAAGCACAACATCTTGCGCATCATCTCTTTATTCTTCTAAGAATAGACAGGTCAATGTCTTTGTTGTTTAAACCATCTAAAATGTCCTTTAAATACAGGATTACTATACAGATTATGGGATGGTTGGCTACAGGGTGATTTGGTGGAACTTTCCCAATTTCTCTTTCCTAAGGTGATCAATAATTTAATCATATACTCCTAAAATCCTACCTACACAAGCTGGTGACTGTTGCAGCAATTCTGTCCCAGTTAAATTTAGATGTATACCAGGGCTGCCATACCAATCAGTGGGCTGATTGCAGTGTGCACGCACCCATAACAGAGCCATTGGCAGCTGGGTGGTTTTTTTTGCAGAGCTCGCATATTAGATAACTGTCACAAGTGTTCGTAAGTGGCAAACTGGAACCCTTGGAAATACTGATCAGAAAGTTTGAAATAAATTATCAGTATATATTTTCAGATACAATTTAATTATTATAATAACTGTACAGTATAATTTCACAGTGCGATGTAGTTCCATGATCAGACTGAAGGGAGAATTGCACATTTCGTCTACATCCAGCAGCATTTGACAGGATTTTTAGTACATTTTGGCATTTTAACAGTAAGTTCTGTGAGTGATAGCACTTACTGCAATTCATAGTGTCATTTACTCCAAAATTATGGTCCCACTGAAAAAATAATACTGCTTGTTTAAAATTGCATCTGAAATCACCTTAACACTTTTAGAGCAGGACTATTTATTTCATAGACCTGTAAGAAAACTTTAATGTTCAGAATTTTATAATTTTTTTAAACTTATTTTCTAAACAGGTCATTTTTATTTTCTGGAAGGGCAAAACGATGCTCTGCTTTGTGGAAATAGTTCTGATGCTGGGTAAGACCAAATTTCATCATATTATTGCACCATGTACAAATCAGATCCATGTTCTTTAGATGTGCAGTTGGAGGGGGGCTATATTTTGAGAGACCACTTTCTTTCACATAAGAAATATGAGGATTTTACACTGGACTGAGGATTTGGGTTCCTGGTCAGAGCTCAGTGGATTGGTTAGATGAGCTCAGTCTTTGCATGAATGAATTAGTAATTTGGTATTAGAGTAGCTCCTGCCTGGATGAGAAGTAACAGACACAGCAGCTGAAAAACACGTGTTATTTTGCAGTTCCAGCTGCACATATGAGTACTAACAGGCTCAGACAGCAGAAAACACTGACATTGACATTAATGTTACAAAATTAATAACTAAAGAAATTATTTGGAATATTATGTTTTAGAAGCTTAGATTAAACTTTCGACACTAATTTCTATGTGCCTTTCCAGCTTAATCTTTCTAGTATCCTTTAAAATAATTTTCTATTTAAAATCACGTCTGCTGTTATTTCCAGTCTGATTAACTAAAGAAAAATCCACTTTTTAATCCTAAACTTTTCCTGGACATTCCAGGTGATAATAGTAAAATACCTATGTAAGGTAACACCCAGTTTGTCTTTGTAGGCAGTGCCCAGAAGGATATACATGCGTTAAAGCTGGTAGAAACCCCAATTATGGCTACACAAGTTTTGACACCTTCAGCTGGGCTTTCTTGTCACTATTTCGCTTGATGACTCAAGACTTCTGGGAAAACCTTTATCAATTGGTGAGAATTTTTTAATGCAAAATAGAGTAAATTTGTTTGTACCAATAATGTAAGAGGCCCAAAATCAATTTTCTTATGTTATCTTAGTTTTAACAATGTGAAACACAGAACTTTTGTTAACCTATTCTTGCTTATGTATTCTTATTTCCAGACACTGCGTGCTGCTGGGAAAACATACATGATATTTTTTGTTCTGGTGATTTTTCTGGGTTCTTTCTATCTGATCAACTTGATCTTGGCTGTGGTCGCCATGGCCTACGAAGAACAGAATCAAGCAACCTTGGAAGAAGCAGAACAGAAAGAGGCAGAATTTCAACAGATGCTGGAACAACTGAAGAAGCAACAAGAAGCAGCTCAGGTATAATTTATGGTGTAGTAATGCAGAAGGGTGTGGAAGTAATTTTACTAGAGATATTCACCCTCTGCTTTCTGAATTTGGAGTTATAAAACACCCTGTTGGGTTTTCAACAGCAGAGCTAGCTCAGAGATTTTCTATTCTGCACTGAAAACATTGTACTGTGAATGATACAGCCATAATCAAGAAGGAATATTCAAAACTAGGTATACATTATTCATTATGTTTTTCTTAGCCTACTGTCATTAATACAGTCTGTTAGACTTCTGCATTTAATAACTACTCATGAAAGATGGAAGAAGGCTATGGCCAACACATATCTTGAGTCAACTGAGTAATAAAAATTAGAAAAAAATGAGGGAGAGGATGTCCTATGGAAAGTGTTAAGATCCAGGGAGTTTGGACTAGAAATTCCGTACAAGCAAATTTAAAAAACCATGATGTCATGATTTGCTCAGTGACACAAATTCATTCTGCAACATGGCAGGCAGCAGCGGTGGCAGCGGCAGCAGTAACGGCATCCGCAGAATCCAGGGAGCCCAGCGCTGGGGGAGAAGCAGGAGGGCTCTCAGAAAGTTCCTCAGAGGCATCAAAATTGAGCTCAAAGAGTGCAAAAGAGAGGAGAAATAGAAGGAAAAAGAGAAAACAGAAAGAACAGTCTGGAGGAGAGGAAAAAGATGAAGATGAATGTCACAAGTCTGAATCAGAAGAAAGCATCAGAAGGAAAGGTTTTCGATTATCTATTGAAGGCAATAGATTGACATATGAAAAGAAGTATTCTTCTCCACATCAGGTATTGCATATAGTTATTTTTAGTAGAACCATACATTTAAAACATCATAGGCTGTTACAAAACTACGTTAGTCTTCCTGGTACTGTAGTATGACCCTACTGCCTAAAGAAAGGAAACACTGAGATTTTCATTAAACTTTATTATTGTTGCTAGTGCTTGAGAGAAAGTGCTGTAGCTGCTGGATTGTCTTGTAAAAAAACCACAAAGAATTAAATATAACCTCACATCTCTATTCTTGTAATAGGATCGCTTAAAAATCATATTAAAATATTCTCTGATTGATTCTGTGGGGTTTTTTTAGAGTGATTATGTATTATCTAGACTTAATAAAATACTACAGTATTTTTCCATTATGATAGCCTCATATTTTCCTCCTGCTTCAATGATGTTTGGAGGTTGGTTCAATATGTGCAGGATGCTGCATACATGAAAGAATGTGCATGTATAGACCCCCCTTTTTGCTTGATGGGTATTGTGCAACTACTCTACTCGGCAACTCTAACTGACATTAGGACAAAGGAGTGATCAAAATTGGTTTTGTCTTAAGAATCCATAAGCAGTGGTATTTCTAGCTGAAAAATATAAATATAATGAAATACATATAAAAAATTTCACAGCAGCATTTAGCTTCTGGGGAAAATGGTCATTGTCATATAAGGATCTCACACACACCCCATGCTATCCTGACAACAATGCTAAGTTTGAAGGTTTCTGATATTAATCACATTTTTGTTTGCCTGCAGTCTTTGCTGAGCATTCGCGGCTCCCTGTTTTCTCCGAGGCGCAACAGCAGAACAAGTCTTTTCAGCTTCAGAGGTAGAGCAAAGGATATAGGATCAGAAAATGACTTTGCTGATGATGAGCACAGCACTTTTGAAGACAATGATAGCAGAAGAGATTCTCTCTTTGTGCCGCGCAGACATGGTGAACGGCGCAACAGTAACATTAGTCAGGCCAGTAGGTCATCCAGGATGCTGGCAGTGTTTCCAGTGAATGGGAAGATGCACAGCACTGTGGATTGCAATGGGGTGGTTTCCCTGGTTGGTGGACCATCTGTTCCTACATCGCCTGTTGGACAGCTTCTGCCAGAGGTGATAATAGATAAACCAGCTACTGATGACAATGTAAGAAAGTTTTAAATAGCTTAGGCATCGTGGCCTTTTCTTACTGCACCAGCCAGTGTTTTCTACAGAATGGAACCCTTGGCAATGCTTCCTGGTTGGTCAAGCTGTGAATGCTCCTGCATCTTGTAAAACCTTTAATATATAAAACAGCTAAGATAGGTTTGCAACCTAAGCATTTACTTACCAATATTCTCATAACTAACAAATGCAATTTGCAGTTTCCAAGTAATAAAATATTAACTTAATTACACATTCATAAAAGCACTATGCTTTATTGTATTATTGTGCTATACTTTAATTCTGCTGATCTAAAGGTCCATCTGGCTATGGTCTGCAAAATCACAGTTACTATACAATTGAAAATAGTATACAAAAATATTATCATATAACTGCAGTCAATATGATGCTGCTATTACCACTTTATCAAAATTAGCGTTATTGGTTAATTTTGATAACATTCTTCCTTATTAGCGCCCTTAAAAATGTAAGGAAGTTGTAAATTCTTTATTATCATTTATTTCTCATTCCTATATGTTCTCCATCTGTTGCTGGTGGAGTTCTGTAGTGTAGATAACAAACAGTTTATTGGACGATGACATTTCAATACATAATTCCAAAAATACAAATGTGTGTGAACATATGTGCAGCACATATTGCTGCCATTCTCTTACCATATACAAGGTAAGAGAAGATATCTCAGAAAAATTTCTCGCTTAGTTCAAAGTTGTCTACTCACGTTACTAAAAAAATACTAGCATGAGGAAGCATGAGGAAGTCAGACTTTTCTTACTTGCTACAGTTTGCCTAGGGGAAAAAACTATTATGTTACAAAACCCCAAATTCTGTCAGCAGGAGCAAGGAAAAAAATTACAGTTTGCAAAAATTGTATACAATATTTTGAACTCAGTCCTTTTCCATTTGTTTAAATAATTTTTCGTAGCTTGAAGGAAAGAAATTCAAAAGTTAAGTAAATAAACTCTCTCTCAGTCTTAACGGGAAGTAACTATTGCTTCATATCTTTTAAAAATTATTTAAAAGATACTAAAAAGTAATAAAAGTCTGACAGGATAAAAATTGAAGTGCACGAAGCACGTATCCAAGCTAAGACATTAATAACAGGGTTCTATATGGTATTTGCTTATCTTATTACTCCAACATGGTCTCACCTATCATTGTTCTCTGTATAGGGCACCACTACAGAAACAGAAATGAGGAAGAGAATATCAAGTTCTTTCCCCGTTTCTATGGACTTCCTGGAAGATCCAGCTTTAAGGGAAA